CTCTTCTCTAGCTGTGGCGCTTGGGTTCCACAGCACATGGGCTCTGTAGTTGGTGGCACGCAGGCTCTCTAGTTGAGGCTCACGAGCTCAGTAGCTGTGGCGCAGGGGCTTACTTGCCCCGTGGCATGTGGGATCTTAATTCCCTGACCAGGGATCGAACCTGCATCCCCTGCATTGTAAGGTAGATTCTTTACCACTGGACCACCAGGGAAGTCCCAGTTGATCAGTTTCTTTGTGTCAGCACTGCTTTAAACACTTTACATGTATAAATTCATCTAACCCTATGTTAATCTTCATAAACAACCCGTTATTATTACTCTCCTACAGATGAGACTGACACACAGAGAGGGTAACCCGCCCAAGAGCACACACTGTTCAAACCACTGAAACCATTATTCAGACTCAGGCAGTAAACATGGCAACATTCTTTCAGGATGCTGGAGTGGTTCTTTGAGTTATTGGAGCTCTAGCTTTTGAGTTGACTCTGGGAAATTTTGGCTTGTTTTCTGTGTAGTATTGACACATGCATAACAGTATTTTGAGAGAGATTTTTTTTTCTTGTTGCCTCTACCTAGGAGGGCTTCTATAGGGGAAGTGACAGCTAGAGGTTGGAAGGGGTATTTATACCTGTCATTCAGATGCCCTCTAAACAGAGGTCAGCTACAGCCAAGATGGGGGATGGGAAGAGAGTGAGGAAAGCCGGCGATGATGTTCATGGGTTGCTAAGAGAAAAACTGATGGTTCCTTCTCCCCTCTACCTCCTACAAACCCCAGTTTTGGTTGTGGGGAGTTAGGGTTGGTGAGGGAACTGACCACACCCTCCAAGGAACTGGAGTAGACATAAAAATGGGCTGACCACACCCCCTGGCCACTTCAGCCTGGCAGGTGATGATGGTGATGGAGAAAGGGGGAGGGGGACAGGAGTTAAATCAAACACAACATTCAGGTTTAGACTAGATTGATTTTTTTAACAAATAAATTTATTTATTTATTTTTGGCTGTGTTGGGTCATCGTTGCTGCGTGCGGGCTTTCTCTAGTTGCGGCGAGCGGGGGCTTCTCTTCAGTGTGGTGCACAGACTTCTCATTGGGTGACTTCTCTTGTTGCGGAGCACGGGCTCTAGGTGCCCGGGTCCCAGACCAGGGCTCGAACCCACGTCACCTGCATTGGCAGGCAGATTCTTAACCACTGCGCCACTAGGGAAGCCCAACTAGATTGATTTTTAATAGCTGACAAAGACCTAAGAGTCAGAAAAACTGTCCAAGATGTGAAGGGACACAAAAGACAAATTTGCTGTAAAAACATGGTTCAGAGTAATGATTGAAGAAAAAGAAACTGCTTCTAGTTTATACCCTGCAGAATTGAGCCTGCTCAACAATAGGTAATCTTTATAAAGTCCTTACTATGGGCCAGGTACTCTGTGAAGCAATTCACAAATAGTCATTCACATAGATCTGTGAGGTGAGTACTATTATCACTGTCATCATCCCCATTTTACAAGGGGGGAAACTGAGGCACAGAGAACTTGAGCAATTTGCCCAAGGGCATCACTAGAGCTGGCATTTGATCACAGGCAATCTGGCTCCTAAGTCTGTGGTTTTAGCCATTAAAGTTACACTGCCTTGCCAACCATTCACTTTCATATGGCATTCTATTCTGGTGTGGTTTTTCCCTCTTGGGTCTTTTGAGGCTGACATTTCTCTTCTTTCTACCCTGTTTGTGGTTAAACTTAGTGCATGGAGGACAGGAATAGAGGTTTTAATAGTTTAAAATGAGCTACTGGACTTGCATTACTAAAATGACATTTTCCCAAATGGTATGAACTTTAAACAAAAGCATGTAAGGTCTGACATTCTGATTTAAGCTCTGAGCAGGGCCAGTGAACAACTAATGCTGACCTCTTCCTACACACACTACAAATTTACACATTGATTTGATTCTTAAGTTTTTCTCCTAGATCTTGATTGCATTATGAGATCTAGGCCCAGATGGGCATTTCATAAACGCTTTTTGACAATGATTAGAAGGCTTATTTAGTCTTCTAGACTTGTTCCGCATATACCCAGGATAAAAATGTCTTGCATCTTGATGACCACTTGTTTATTTATTATTGAGACCCATAATGAGTAGCACACATGGTCTCTGCAGCAGGAAGCTTCTGAGGCATCTAATAGGAACTCAAACCCAAATTGTCTTAAATGCAAGGAAAAGGCAGAATTTGTTTCATTAAACAAGTCAGTGGTGTCATCAAGAACCCGTTTTTTTCTTTCTTTCTATTTTTCAACTCTGCCTTACTTAGTGTATAGGCTTTGACCTAAGGCTGGTTTTTCCTCCTAGCTAGAAAATGGCTGCCAGTGGCACCTGGGATACTTGCTTCCTTGTTCATCCAGCAGGATAGACAGGGAAAACCTCTCTCTCAAACCATAGGTTGTTAAGTTCTTTCCTTTAGTCTAATTGGGCCACACATTGATTGACTAAGAGTAATAAGCACCCACCGCCCTGGAAATGTGGATACTAGAACACAGTTGCGGTTCTGTCAGAAGGAAGAAGGAGCATATAGATGTTGGGGAGGCTCTGAAGCTGTTTCTTCATCTGGAAAAAGGTGACCTATCAGAGAATCTTGCAGAGAATCACGATGCTCAGAGATAATGTATGCAGGGTTGCCAGATTTAGCAAATAAAAACAGAGAATGCCCAGTTAAATTTGAATTTCAGATAAACAGCAAATAATTTTTAGTATGAGTATGTACACCTCTTTCTACAAACGTTACAGATTTACACATTGATTTGGTTTTTAAGCTTTTCTCCCAGATTATGAGGTCTGGGCCCAGAGGGGCATTTCAAAAAATTTTTTTTTCTTTTGACAGTGATTAGAAACCTTATTTAGCCCTCTGCCCTGTATCCAGGATAAAAATACATACTTATACTAAAAAATTATTCATTGTTTATCTGAAATTCAAATTTAACAGGCCTTCTGTATTTTATCTGGCAACTCTAAATGTATGCAAAGTTCTTGGCACATAGCAGGCATTCATTCAGTGGTAAGTATTAGTGTTGTTTCTATATAAGAAAAGAGCTCAGTTAAATGGCAGCGTGGTGCTTTTTAACTCTTACTAACATAGAAAATATATGCTTTTGATCAAAATTGCAAAATTAACTGAACTGGATGTGACTCTAAGCATCCCTTCACCACTACTCAAAATGAGATCAAAGCAAAGGTCCCTAAGTGGAGGGTCATATTTGCATACATGGGATGGCACATTATAAAGCATCTAATATTACCACTTAAAACTAAATTGAACTTGCATCACCGGATAGTTAGTTATTGGTCTTTCCTTATCTTGTTCTAAGTCTATACAGATAAACCATTCTTCATTTGATTCGAAGGTAATGCTGCTACAATTCCTGGGACAAAGGCACTAACATACAAGATTGAAAATGGAGTGATCGCCTCAGGAATTCTAGCTCCATGTGGGTGAAGCTTGAGGTCACAGCAACTGTTACTTTGCATCTGGAGGAGGCAGGAGACTCTGCAAAGCTCTCTGCTGTTGCCTCTGACTCCATTTTCCTTCACTGCTAATTCATTGTTCTTACCTGTAAAATTTTCTAATATGCTTCCTGAGAAGCCAAAGAGAGAGCAGGCACCTTCATTTTGTCATCAAATATTCACCATATTATGAAAAGGAAAACCCTACTGACTTGGCACTGAATGGCCAAACCCAGCATATTGTTACATATTGTTACCAGATTCACAACAGGAATAGATTAAGTGGATTTTATCCAAGATATCTAATTCCCATTACAGTACAGTACTGCGTATTTCTAATTTGGTGGCTGCTATGATCTCATACACTGCTTATTTTCTGTGCTTTTCCTATAAACCAGAAAAAAAAGCCATTTTTCCTGTTTGTTTTTTTAAGTGGAAATTATTATGCACATTACATAGATTAGTCTGCAATGTCTTTAAAAGTATTATTTTTCCTAGTTTTCAAAAAGTGGCATTGGAAATGTATCTCTTTCCATTCCATCACGTCTTCATCCTCGTTGGAAACTTGATCCATAGTAGGTATTAAGATCTTTACATTTCTACTGGTTGGGCGATGACTTCATTTCTTTCATGCCAGCTGGGGAATCTTGTGTGGCTGAGCATTGGACCGAAGCAAGGCTGTGGGTTGCTGCTGCTGCTTAACAGCCGTTTGCATGTATCCAGCTGCTGTGTAAGGAATCCTCAGGCTACTAGTTCTTTGCACCTAAATTACCCAAGGGATCGCAGGCTGATGGACGAGTGTATGTGTGAATGTGTGTATATGTGCGTGTGTGTGTGTGCGCACGGGCAGCTGCAACAGATGGGCATCAGCAGCAATGGATTTCGATATCATTTTTACCAACAACAGAGATAAACAGTCCTCCATCCTTTATTTCCAAGCAGTGCCTCGGCTTCCGCCCCAAATGTGCTCTACCCCTCTTCTCCGATCCCCCACCCCCGCCCGCACGTGTCCCTAGGGAGGAAGAGGCCAGGATAGCTGCGCTGCAGGCAGGATTCCCCCTTTTTTCCCGCTGTGACAGGCGGATTCCCGGGCCTCCTCGGCCCACCACCCCCGCAGCCGCCCCTTTCCCAGTCACGATCTTCCCCCCCCATCCCCCCTCCCTTCGAAAGCTCAAGGCTCGGGCCCCGCCCCTCCCAGTCGCCCAGCCCAGGTTGCTAGGGCCTGGCGGGGCAACCAAACCTGGCGCGCGAGGAGGCACGGCGCGCGCGTACGCGCGCAGACACGCTTATACAGGGAACCAGCTGTCTTCTGCTTCGGGGACCAGTGCACGAGCAGCGCGGGCGGGACGCGCGAGCCCGAGCCCGAGGACGAGCGCTCTCTCCTTATTGGTTCCTATCAGAAGTGGGCGGGGATAAGGCGGGAGCTGGCGGAGTCTGAGGAGCTTCCCCATTGGTCCAAACGGGAGGGTTGGGGCGGGGCAGTTAGCAGCTTAGGCTGCGCGTTCGCCTGAGAGAGAGGGCGGGGTCGAAGGTTTCGATTAGTTGTCGCCGCCGCTGGGGAAGGTAAAGCGGCGACGGCGGCCTCGGGAGCTGTGGGACCCTGGCTGGAGGTGGGGATCTCGGCGGGGTGAGTAGACGCGCCGCCACCCGCCCGCCAAGCCTACTTGTCCTCATTCGGCCCCGCGCCCACCCAGCTTCTCCTGAGAGAGGGGACCCACCCGGTCCCCCCGGGCAGACGTGAGACGGGGAGGTGGCGCGGGTCCCCCCAGAATGGGGCGACGCGGCGAGGGCACCCCAGTCTGGAGTGGCTTCTCCTCAGCGCCCCATTGCGCCGCTGGAGGGGCTTCCCCGGCGAGGAGCTGGGGATGTATTTTGGGGTGTAGAGAGACGGGAGGGTGTGAGGAGGGGCGGCGGGTCGAGGCCGCCCCGTGGGGCTCCCCTCAGCGGCGGGTCTGCTGCATCCCCGCCCCGCCGCCCCCGCGGCCCGAGCTCCCCAGGGCTTGCGGCGAGGGAAGCCCCTTCCCGCCGGCGCTGAGGAGGAGCCTGCGCGCTGGAGCCCCCCGCCCGAGTTCCGTGGGAGTCCGGGACCCGCCGGGGACTGCGAGCTGCGGCCCCTGCCCTGCTGACCTTGGTCGCCTGCGAGGGTGGGCGAGTGACCCTCCGCCTGCCCCGCGGTTCCTCCAGCTTCCCCCGAACAAGTTTCACGCGTCGTTATGAAGTTCAAGACTAGCATAGTGGGGAGAAGCAGAAATTGGCCCCTTCCCAGACCTTCGTACCCTTTGGACCCTGATAGAAATTAAATCCTGGGGTTTGGAACCATTTCCCAGAACGAACAGGTTCTGCTCGCAATGACACGTTCTGTGCCCACGTTGGGGGAAAAAATAACCTGAACATATTTCAGTGTAAAGGCAGATCTTCCCTGAGGGTTTTGTTTTTCGCTTCACTTGAGTGTTAAAGCACAGATGCCTGAAAAAGAAAAGCCTGACCTTAGTATCTCCACAGTGAGATTAGACGGATGCTGTGATATTTAAGTAGTTGCAGATCAGTGTTCTGTTAACACAATCTATTTTTATTGACTGAAATTTAAGCTGATTTTAGAAAGTATTGCAGACACGGAATGATTTCTTTCCGTGCATCTGAATTAGGTTTGTTTGGATGTAATGGTTTATGTAGTTAATGTAAAGGATTACACAAATTAATTTGTCCGGGAGCATTTGACCGAAACAGGAGACATAAATATGTATAGAATAGAATTATCGCTTTAGGTAACATCTGCTGGAACATTTCCAGGTTGTTCCTTTCTTGCTGTAGGGTTACAAAAGAAGGCATCTTTACCGAGCCTATTCGGAATTATTTGTGAATGACATTTAGATGTAAATTTGTTTTAAATTTCTTTAAGTGTTTTAAAATATTTTATTCATAAAATGTGAAGAGTTGAAGGGGGGGTAGTATAATCTTATATTTAACAACCCAGTTACGGTCATTAATAATACATTTTTTAAAAAGGTGTGCCTCTACACTATTTTAGGTTTGAGCATTTTTGGCGTTGCCACTGGAACGGGAGTAAGGAAGCCTGCAGCAGTATTACCAGTTTGACACCACCAGTGGGTGTTTCTGTTGACAAATGCAGAGAAGAGAACATTTGGGAAGGAAATCTTTTTTCTAAGGGTGGGGGGTGGGCGAGTGGGGGACGGAGCCAGAAGAGAGAAGCTGTAGAAGAACTAAAGCTGCCAGGGCAGTGTATGCTGAGCATTTCACAAGTACAAGGAAACCTAATTAGGATAAAAAAATTCAGTTTGGCTGTATTAAATAACAGAGCTCCAAAAGAGGCATGCTAAATAAAGTTAGTAATTACAAGAGTGTTAAATAATCTACTATTTCAGAGGAGTTGGAGGGTCTTCAATTGTCAAATCCCTTTGAATTGTCTTGCCTTTTAACCTAATCAATGCAAGCATTCATTTGATATATATGTATATATAGAAAACAGTTTAGTATTCTAATTTTGCTTATTTAGTAAGTTTTCTGAGCCTAATATTTTTTAAAACAAAATTTGGTATATCAAAAAAATAATTAGAGGGACTTCCCTGGCAGTCCAGTGGGTAAGACTCTGCGCTCCCAATGCAGGGGGCCTGGGTTCGATCCCTGGTCAGGGAACTAGATCCCACATGCTGCAACGTAAGATCCCCCGAGCCACAACTAAGACCCAGCGCAGCCAAATAAATAAATATTTTAAAAAAATTAGAAATAAGCATTCTTTCTCCAGAGAGGATTCCTTTTTTTTTTCCTGCTCAGATTTGTAATTTATTCATGATTTAGGGGCTTGTGGTAGGGATTTTTTACCCCTTTATCTCAGGTTTTTGATTTTCTACTTATACAAGTTCCCTGGGCTAAATGTGCCACTATTTTCATTGTAATTTTCTTGGAGTTATTTAAATCGGAGTGTGGCATCAACAGTATTCCCTGGGGTTTTAAAAGAAAAGGCTCCCACTGAGGGAAATTGCAGGGCCATCTCGCATAGATGAGTAATAGAAGGTTGACTGATTGCGAATCAGATGTATTCTGTTCCAAATGTGCTGCATGGAGTTAAGGCAGTTTCATTTAATAACAACCAGATTTTACTTGGTATTTCTGCTTTGAAGGTGCGGTATTGTTACAAAACGAAATACAGAGGTGGAGACATTTCGTCAAGTATGCCTTCCCACCGCCGCCCGCACCCACCCCCCAGCCTTGCTTCACCACTGTGTCTAAGAATCTGTGAGAGATGCTTTCAACAATAGTTGCATTGTTGGAAATGACAGTGGCTTCTGTTGCAGAAATTCAACCTTTCATTATGATTTATGTTTCAATTTAATTTATGGTAGAAAATTCCAGTATATCTGAGAATATGGCTGTGGAATTTGTAAGGAGGTGAGCAGAGAAAAGAAGCCTTCTTCAGTGTGTCTGTTAGAAGTTCACCTTTTTTTTCTCCTTTTTATTTTGATAACTTTGGTGGTTATCTCCTTTATTTCTAATACATGTTAGCGGGTATGTTAACATAGTACTTCATTTTCGGCTGTTAGTGTGGGGATATGACTTTTTCATTAATAACTTGATGTCAAGTAATAACAGAAGGCATTTAAGAACAAACGAATCCACATACTTAGATCCAAAATGTGAGGGGAATCCTTTAGGTAACGCTTAATTTTGGTACAAGAATAGCAGAATTTGAAGTATTAAGTCACTTTTTAAGTAGAAAAGAGTTTACTCAGAATTTGATAATTTTAGTTTCTAAAGTTTTAATTTTTGGCAACATTGAATTTCTTGATAGAGACAGAGATCGAACCTCAAAGGTTCTTTATCATCTGATGATGAAGTCAGTTGGGTCACATATTTCAACTTGAGAAAATAATGTAATTGAAAGACTATATTTAAACTTTCTGTTTGGGAGGGTTTTCCAGTTTACTTTCTATCTTAAATTCAACATTAGAACTCTTTTGTTGGTGATGCATCACTTACTTTAGTGTTTGGATTTAAATTCTTGATAGTTTCTAGAATGTTTCCTTTATATAGAACAGTGCTTGGAAGACTGGATTATTCAAAGATCTGGCCTCATTTCTCATTCAAGTTTGTACAGTTACTTCTTAATACTGTGTGATATGAACTTGGGTACAATTCTGTCAGTGGGAAATGAAAGCTGTGAGTGAGGACCTTCCACCTAAAGAGCCTGATAACATTTAGACAATTCAGATTTGGGAATTAACAGAAAATTATTTATTAGGTTAAAAGGACTTAACCCATTCCAGTCTTTGGAATTGATTTTCTTCATTTTGAATTAAGCTCTTAGAAACATTTGTGTTTGAGATAGTTCTAATTAGGGTTAAGTTTTGGGTGTGGTCACTTCTAATTAGGGTTAAGTTTTGGGTGTGGTCTCTTTTGGGCAGTTTTCTCTATAATAATTAAATTCTAATATTCTATTTATTGAGCCTTACTGAATACCAGGTTCTATGGCAAATAATTTATTTGCATGAATATATGTGTGTATGTGTGTTCTCACAACATTCCTGTGAGGTAGGTGTTTTTCTTATTTTCCGTATACACTTGACCAAATGGGCTGAGGGAGAGAAAATATTTTACCCCGATTACCTAGCTAGTCAGTAGCTGAGGCAGAACTTCCATTCGAAACCGGTATGACTTGAACATGTGCTCTTCAAAACTATGCTTTCTGCTTCTCTTTAGAAATCTGATTTCCCAGACATGTTTTGAGCTCCTACTGTACATCACTCCTGGGGTGGTTACTGGAGGTATAAATATGCCTCCTGGAGTTTATAGGCTACATTGGCAAGGCTGCCTGACCTTTAGTCACATGGGAGGCTGGACTCAGATCCATCAGCACTGATGGATAGGACAACTGCAAGTTCAGACTTTTCTAAGAGGGTCGTTAGTTCTGTTTCTTCATAATTGAAGCTTGTACATAATTATTTACACTCAAATGAGGTAGCTGTTTCTGATTAACCACTTGGTATTTCATGTTTCTTCATGTTCCATTTTAACTTTTGACTGACTTTGATTAAATTTGCCACACTAATAAAGGCTGTGAAGATATTCCTTGAATTCAATTTTGTGGTTTAGATGCACTCTTGAAGTAAAATGGCAGCCATTACAATCTGCAGATGGGTACCCATCTCTTCTGTAATTGTAATGACTTCAGTGAAATAAAATTTGGAGGTGAAGTCTACAGAGATATGTTATTGATGTTGCTTAACACTATGTAGGAGTTACAGTTTGACAACATTTTTCTACTTGCAAGTAGAATTTCCTGTTACTTATAGCCTCTTATGGGTGTGTGTGTGTTTAAACAAGACTCATCCTTAAGAGAGCTACAGTTGCTTAGCCCAAAGGAACCCCCAGCGGTCCATGTTAGGGAGGAAGAGGACTTAACATCTTATTCTGTAATTGATGAGAATCACTTTTGCCAGTTATTAAAGTTAGAAAGGAATGATGAATATTGTAGAACCTCAGGGCTGGAAATCACCTCGGCCAAAGCAGGACAGTTGTTCTACCAAGATGGGACCTATACAGAAGTGCTGTGGATTTCTTTACCAAGTATGGGTTTTGAATATGCATTTTTAACAGTTTTATTGAGGTATA